CTCAGGCCTGTCAAACTGTGTCAACCTCCGCAGCCGACAGACAGACAAGCAAACACTTTCACATGTGTGAGGGAGCAACGGTGGCGGGATCACACGTTTCTGTCACCCCGTTGATCCGACCATACGACATCTTTCACCTCACTTCCCCTCCGTCCGTCTCTCACTGCAACGCAACAAAGACAAAGAGCGGCGCCGGGGAGATGAAGCAGCTTCAGGAACTACAGCAGAGAGAGAGAGACAAAGAGAGGAGAGACAGGACGGTGAAACAGAACTAGGACAGGCGGTACATTAAGCTCAGTGGCTGTACAGTTATTGGCTGTGACAGTTTCCTCGTGCATTAACATATGCATGATGTGGTGGGTACTGCAGGAAACAGAGATAATCTCTCAAACTACTGTATGAATCAGCCTGTTCTCTCCAACAGGAGGTTTTCTTTTGCATCTTTTTCATCTTTTTCAGTTAATTTTTTAGGACATTGCAGAAAGATTTCTCACAGTAATAACACAAAGTTACAGCGCTCTGTCACAAATATACAGTATTTATTAAAACTGTGAGATTTATGTTGAAATGATGAAGACAACAAACAGATTAATGTGTCGTCGCTCTGCTCAGCTTTATATTTATTGTTTTTCCCAAAGATGGTTTCTGTCATTTTAGGTCGTTCTCCTCACGCTGATGTTTGTTCAAGTGTTCATTTTTTATCATCAGTTTGGTTTTAATTTGTTATTTTAAGATTTAAAAAGCGTAACGGTCGACAGCTAAGTGCTCGCCACTGAGTCAGCCGGGCGTATGGGCGGGACCTCGATACCGTGGCACCAACCCCGATCACTACTCCGGGATATTTTGGGTGGAAGTATAGACGGCCATCTTTTATATGTCGATTCTAACTTCCAGTTTAGCCCGATAAAACTTATTTAAGTGCATCTTTTTAATGTGATGCTGACCGATGTGTTTTTGTTGTTGCTGCAGGTCTCGGCTCGCAGATTTCCACATGAACTGCCAGATGACGTCTCACACCGTCACCAGCTGCCCCCATGACAACTACCACGGCTGCCTCATGTCCTACGTCGGCCTCCTCGGTGAGTTTGATGACTTTCAAAGTAAAGTTACGTATTTATTAAGATGTTAGCTCAGCAGCCGAGAGAATCAGGCCTTTAATCCTCACGTAGACCACACCCTTCCACACATCAGTAGGCAATAAGTCAGCTGCTAATAACAGTCTAATAACAGTTTAATAACAGTCTGATAACAGTCTAATAACAGTTTTATAACAGTCCGCCACGTTTCACTGTCAACATCTGTCATTGTCACTCACTTGCTCAGCTTTTGCCGTTTGTTGATACCTCTCAGCCACCGTATTAAAGAGATGCATTCTGGCCAAATGTGTCCTGTTTACAGACTTTTAATGTTAAACCATGACAGTAAAAGACTGTAAACTCTAAATAGGTTAATGTTCACAGTTAAACACAGAGATATCTCACGGCAAAACCTTTATTTATACAGCATAAGGAAGAATTTATATGGAATAAAGTAATTTCTTTTAGATTACAAACTGTAAATTGCTGATAGCATCATATGGCAAAACTGTTTCTTTTGATGATAAAAACTATTAATACAATACAATATGGAACAGTGAAGTAAAAGACATTATTATTTTTACAGTGTTCCTTGTAAATGAATACCTCACATATTCTGTGAAAACATAATTTGTGTTAAAAAAGAAACAGATTGGTGGCTCAATGTTCTGGTTTCTGTATTTACATTTAACTGAGTTTACCATGATAACTGTAGTGGTATTATAACTAGAGAGTGAACCATTATTAGAATACCGTCGTCTAGTTGAGAATTTACAGCCGCTGCTGTTATTCTGTCTTTGTTGGATGACTCACTTTCTCTCTGGAAATCACCCAGTGATTCAATTCCCAATTTACAAAAATCCTCTTTACCTTTCTTCCTGGATAATCTCCATCCTAATTCTTATTCCTCCCCAACGTTAACTGCCTCCCCCTCGCTCTCTCTCTGCCTCTCTCTGTCTCTCAGGCTCAGATGTGACGCCAAACTACAGCGACAGCAGCCCCTCCAATATCACCATCAGCCTGTGGTGTACCTGCAGGGGCACCGGCAATCAGGAGCCCGAGTGTGACGCTTTCCACCGGGACTTCACACACAACACCTGCCTCAGTGAGTCCTCCGCTGCCGTGTCACCTCTACACTGACGAGGACAGATTTAGACACAGAGCCATGAAGATTAAAATATATAAAGACGGAAAGAAAATCCTTCAAAGTTGGGGCACATCAGTGGTTTGACTGAAAGATTATAATAAGGTGTATGGCTGTAGTTAACATCATTTGGTCTATTAAACATCAGGAAACAGTGGAAAATGTCCATCACAGAGAGCACAAGATGATAGCTTCAGACTTCTTGTTATTTCTAACCAACAAAACAACCGAAAGATAGTCAGTTAAATGTGCTGCAGGACAAAGAAAGAAAGAACTTTTTACTTTTTCACTTTTTAAAGTTATAGATATAAAAATGTGCTTGCCTTGAGATGCACCAGAATCTCAGACCGAAACAATGAGACAGAAAAAAAACACAACTCATCAAAACCATCTTTGTTAGATGTGAAAATATTAGTGAAAAGCGCTGCAATGACCAAGGGCAGCAATGTAAGCTGAATTTAATCCAAGTTATTTTTTTGTACCTGACAACATTATGGAAAGAAAGTCGGTTACTGCTGTATTAATGTTTTTAATCTCATATATATAACCATTAAGAAGCTGGAACCAGCTAATTTTGGACATTTTTGCTTGAAAAGTGGCTTAAATTGATATTGAATACTCGCCTCTTCATTTCTGTCGATCGATAAATAATTTCATCCAAAAACAGTTTCATCTCTGGTTGCATTATTTTTTGTAGAGTTAGGGTTGGATAATGTGGAGGAGTTACATGTGTGTGTTGTGTGTACAGCATATAAGTGAAAAAAGAGAGTGGGTCAGATAACTGAGGAGAAAGGTTAGGAGGAGACTGTGAGACAGTGAGTTGAGGATCCCCAGATACTGTCTTTAAATAACAGTGACCCAGCTCCAATATCACCTCTGCTCCTCCTCCGCTGTCTTAATGTGAACATATACATTCATATCCACGTGCCAAATATGCCTGTAACAAAGAAGAACCACGTCAATACACTGTATAAGAGCTTTATGTTCACCATGCATTAAACATTATGGGAATCTGATCATTCCGACCTCACAGTGTGTGAAGATGTGAGCTTTGGAGGAAACATGTCAGGAACGTGTGAGGGCTCGTTGGTGTACTGTAGCAATTCAATGCAAAGTCAAGTCAAATCAATGCAAAACAGCATCCACTGTGGATGATCAACTGACCCTTTAATCTGGTTTACAACAGCAGTATGAGCCTGAAATAAACATTAATGTCAATAAACGGATCACTATGATGCTGAAATAATGACATCATGATGGTGATATGTAAAAAGTCTGAATTCAGATGCCGAGCAAACTTTTAAAATGCTTATTTTCTGAATGGAGTTTGGTTGACTTGAGTTCATAGTAAAGTAAAACTGATAACAGACACATATTTAACAACTTCCTCTCCTCCTTTTCTATCCGGTCTCTGTATAAATAAAAATAAAGTCCTCTCTCTTCTCAACCTGCTGCGATCCACGGAGGAAGATAAATCCACTTTTTAATCCCAGAAGTTTAAAAAACGTGTTTGCAGTAGAGAGCCGGAGCTTCTGGGGGAACAGACAATAAAAAAGGTCAATATTTTCAACGTGCATTAAATCACGAATGCAGCAAACTTCGAGTGCTCACGCCATTTGCTTCACTTGATGTGAATTAGCATCTTTTTATCATCTTTGTATGTAAACTACTTTGAACAAAAAATGTGGTTTGGGTCGCGTTGGCCTGCTGTCTGCGCGCGGCTAGGCTAATCTATGTTAATAAGACATTTTGAAGATGGTTCAAAGATAAAAAGTTATAGTCATATAATATTCAAACGTTTTCATCAGATTAAATAAAGCTTCATGTTGAACGTTGTGACATGATCAGATTTTAAAGCCGGGCACATTGTGTGACTGAAGGGTAGGCGGGAAAATGATGCAGCTGAAGTTAGGGACGCCTCAAAAGGTGCACCTACAATGGCGGAGAGAGCTTTTCAGATTTTTATCAAAAGCTTTTTCATTTTTATTCATAGACACTTTAAACCAACTTCACTTTCACCTCGAACTCTCCCCGCTGCAAACACACACCCAGTGAGCTAACATGGGCCTTTCTTCATCAATACCTCTCTCACTTTTTATTATAGACACTTCAGACCAGCTTTACATTCACCATGGCCTCCTCCTATTATATACACAACCTCCAGTTTTAAAAGAAACCGACATTTTACCGTATATCATCTTAGTTTTATTCAAGGTGGACTGGCACTAATATTTTGTGAGCAGCAAGAGGGCAGGCGTTCACCTTTTTGGGTATGAAAACAAAATGTAGCTATTCTTATGTAATAAACTGATTCAGATACACATTACACCCCAAGTAAATATTAAGACAGGAACTGAAATGAGTGACTGTTTCTTGGTGAGCAAACAATAATTTTGTTGTCACAGTGTAATTTGGATAATAGAGGGTTTAAAGAGGGTCTCATCTAGATAACCATCCCCCCTCTGCTGCTCTCTCTTGGCATGTTTGTCATGTTTACTCTCTCTTTATCTCTTTATCCTTTACAGAAAACGCGATCCAGTCATTTGGTTACGGCGCAGAGGGCGGCACTCTTCTTGTAACCGAGCCGTCGTCCACCTTCTTACCCCCCGCCCAGCCACCAATCATCTCCAAACCCGCTCCCTCTCTACACGGCAACGCAATCAAACCCATGGACAGTGCTTGTATGTTTTCCACATGTGCTAACCTGCAGGTGAGTTTTCTTCTGTTGTTTATGGTCTTTAATAGAAAACCTTGTAAAGCTAACAGGCAGTAGCCTCATATATTAAAGTTCACTCCAAAATCAAACATACATATTCTTACTCTCACCTGTAGTGCTATTTATACATCTGGATTGTGTTGGTGTAAGTTGTCTGCCGTCTCTCCAGTATAATTGTGGAGTTGTGGAGCTCAAAGCGGCAACATTTGAAAAACTCAACAAGAATGTCTCTTTTCAGACATTTTCAAGATAATCCACAGACTACAGTTGGGTGATATGTTAACCCCAATAACCAGCGATTGCTGTGTGTGACCTTGCACCAGGTATCCACTGGGTGTCCCACAGAAACATTGTGTAATGGGTAAAACATATATATCTATAAATTCACAGGTACGAGAACAAAAATAAAAAAAACAATATCTGCACAATATATTTCATCAGCTAACTATTATGATCCAAATCAGCCGCCGGGACTTTCTTTTATTCTAAAAGCTTACACATTGTCTCTGAGGAAACAGCTGCAGCAGGAGCACAAACCTTTCCAAGAACACCAATGGACACCAAACCACCAAAACAGGAGGACAAAACAAGGACGCTATAACTGGTTAGAAAGATTGTATGCCAGCACATCAGATGGCTTGAAACTGTGTGTGGAGATGGATTCAGTGAACTGACAGAGTTTTACTGACATCAGTCTCCAGCTGTGTGGACGCAGCAGCAGCAGTTGGTGATTGATTCAGACAAATGGTTAATTATGATTTTAATTCATGTTTCTACATTTTACACTTATAATCACACAAGTAAATATATGACTGTGTGTGTAGCAGTAGCAGTTCAAAATAAAGTCACGAAATATTAAGAAAGGAAAATCAAACGTCATGTGGGTATTCAGAGGTGCATACCTAGACTCACCAGCAGGTGGCTGTATGCAATAAATATAAGGGTACTCGTGGACTAACATTTTGAGCATTTTTTGCATCAGATGGTGCATTTTAGTTTAGGAGTGCAGGAAGGACAAAGCCAGGTGATCTTTGTCGTGGTAATAAAAGTCAGGTGATGTGAAACGGTCGCAGTTTTAGGTTTAGAAAAATATCATGGTTTGGGATAAAATATATTATATTATTTATGTAATTTAAGTTACTTCCGTCACTAAGTTAAGTTTGTATGTGACATAAGTTAATACATTCCACAAATAAGTCAATGTTGACTTTCGGCCTCACACGGCACCGATTGCAGCCTCCTGAAAGTTGAAAGTGCTCTTTGTTCGACCCACTTGCACCCATCTGCTGCGTATGTGGACTGTTGCTCTTTACACGATCTCACCTGATTTATTTCTGACATTCATGTGTAAAAAGACACACCACCTTTGCACAATATAAGTAGAAAAGGCATGAAATGACATGTGAAAAACTAATTATTCATACACCATTTAATAAAACCAGGCTGGTCTGCGGAGAGGGCTTAGCAAACAGCTAATTCAAGCAATTAGTGGGTTAAGCTACCTTTAAAATCACGTTTCAATATACTGAAGACTGGATTAATGATATATAGAGAAAGATAACAGAGATTCAGAGATAAATTAAATGGACTGCAAAAAAAAATCTCAATAAACTTTTTTTTTAAATTATTTTGTTAAAGTAGTTAAAAGAAGAAAGCAGAAAGAACACATTTAGTTTGCAGATAGTGTTTTCAGCTCACATATACAGTTCGTAGCACAGTGCGGTTATTGGCATTTTTAGGCATTATGTAGGATTTTGCTAGACATTTCTCTGGGTGAAATAATGAAACTGAGAAGAAGAGTGTGACAGACAGAGTCTTTGATTCAGTTTCACCGCCTCTGTAGTCGCTGTTCTCTGTCTTTGTAGGACAGAACATCGATTAAACAGTTGTGTTGTATTTATCAGAATACGTGTCCAACTGAGTATAGGAAAGAGAAACAGGCAGACGGTACACATCCAGACACAAGTGAGGAGGTCTGAGCAGAACAGATTTATGTGGTTTGCTCTTCGTCACCTTCACACACATTAGCGTCATCCTGCCTGCTTCCAGGCAAAGTGGAAACCCATCCATTATGTACAAGGAAGAGGTGTAAGGCTGGAGGTTAAAGGCCAATATAAATTGCTATCCATTATATAAGAGATTTAAAGCATGAATTATAGAATACCTCGGCATACAGTGTGATTGGATGTAGAGATATTTCACTCAAACGTTTCATTTTTAACTATCTTATACAGACTTTATTGTGGAGATTGGCACAGTATATTTCTGTTGCAACAGAAAGATACTGCCACAGTCTGTCTCTAAACTATGTTTTATCAATAATAACACAATTAATAACAAGCACATCATGTTTCATTAGGAAAAACTCACACAGAAGAGCAACCATTTACAGAAAACTGCCGTTAGAAAAGCTGATAATCAGCCAGCGTCAACATCAGACATCCTGATCAGCCTTTATCAGTTAGCTAGTGTTTCTGTAGTGGAGACTAAACGTTAACAATGATCCATATCAGCAGTTTGAATCCAACTAAAAGCACCAAACTCCCTTTTAAGAAATTATCACATTTTAATAATTTCCTAACGTGTTCGTAGCCACACGTTAACTCTAGAAAAGAGAGCTAAAACCGGTCATATGTCCAAGTCTGACTGTTACAGGATCAATATCATCCATAAAGATACAGTGTATACTGATCAATAATCCATACAGTGTATTCCAATCAATAATCCATAGAGATTGAAATTGAGAAAGTTTGTTCAAATTTTACCATTTCTCTCAAACTTTTCAAATGTGATACTTTAAAAATATGTTGATTTGATGATTGTACTTTGTCAGAAAACAGCATTAAAAACCCAATAAAATCTGCACAATTACTCACTGACAATAAAACATCATTTTGATCCCAGATAGATCTTCGTCAGGTCCTCTAGGATCGAAACCTTGTCATTATTCAGGTGTTTTTTATGCCATCGCTTCTTGCAGCAGTGCCTATTTTGGCCGTTCAGAGTCGGAGCTGCAGTGTCCCTCCTCCCCTCCCACAGCTCATTGTGATGCGTCCCTAAACTCAGCCATGCCTCGGGGTCGATGGTGTTTTCCTTTATGTTGAGCCTGCAGGACGGTGTCTGGTGCCAGAGTACACAGCAGGGTTTTTTGGGATTTGGCAATCTTCCGTTCAGCTGACACGACTGAGGCAGTGCAGATGTTCCTGAGACCAGAGTGCAGATTAGTAGGTTCTGGACCGGTATGAGGACATCGGGGTTGGGGGTTTAAGTCACATTCACGTAATTGTTTTAAGTTACAGAAACATTCCTGATTAAGTACTTATTACTGGGTATTTTGTTTTCACCGTACAAATAAATATTACAAAATTAAGTTAATGTCACTTAAAATTTCTAGTAAAAGCTGCTTAATCAAGAATGTTTTTAACTTAACAAAATTGAGTTAATAGAAAGAGTTACAGCTTATCAGGTTTTACAGTGTATTATTATTTTGTTTGTCTTGCTTTTATTTGATAATGATTCTCTAATTTTTGGAACTACAGTTACCATCATTTACTGGCTGGAAGTATGTTGCCATGGAGTCAGCGAGTTAGCTGTGGGAACATTTTGTCAAATGATCTCCATTAAAAGAAGCCGAATTAGCTGTTAGCAGCTCCTGTTAGCGGTGGACTCATGGACAAACACACAACTATCACTGGATACTGAAGAAAACCTAAAAACATGAAGATTCTCAGTCGGCTTCTGCAGTATGTAGTATGTCTATTATATGTATTATTTGCTTTGCCAAGGTGTTTTTGAAATGTCCACGCCCTTAAGGCAACATATAACATTGTGAAACATTAGTGGACTCACTTTAGCACACACAAAGCACTTTGGATCTCTGTGTCAAAAAGGTTTACTTACTTACTTACTTACTTACTTATATTTAGCTAACATTAGCCATAGCAGCCCATTTCGCTGCTATTTTATCACCTAACTCAGTGAATGAAGGATTTTCTCCGAGTTGTTGACTGTTTTTTTTTCTGCAAGGTACAATTACTGGTTTTGTCAATGGAGTCTGGTCGGCTGTTTTGGTCTGAGGTGCTGGTGCTGTAGTGGCAGTGAATTACGTGTGTGACTTTTCAGTTCTGAGTGTGACAACCATGCAAAATAATCAAAATTTTCCAGATGATAGAAATGTATAGAAATAAAGAAAATAACATTTATATTCCTCATATTTTCCATTTCTGAAACCAAATCTACGACGTTAACAATATTGTTAACTATGCAAAAATAAAACAAAACCCCAGATAAAAGCTCTGCAGACCTACAATTTAAGAAATACTGAGTTGAATGATAATATATACACAATTTAACCCACAGCCTGACTTCACCCACCGGCCCTCCATCGGGTCCACGAAGCAATATGGCTGCACCTGCAAACTGCCCTCTGTCAGCACTTTGAAAAACCATTTCTAAATACCTGGAATGTCCGTGTGCGCTTTTCCAGTAAATGTGAAACCACCAAAGTCCCACAGCAGCAGAGATGAAGTTACATCTGAAAAGAGACAGACAGGAAACAGATAGACGGAGATAGAGAGATGCAGAAACACGGCGTCCCTCTGGATGCTGTATATTATCTCATGCATGCTGCTGTTAAATTTGTTTTCTGAATTGTATCATTTTCCCAAAGCACATGAATATAGCTATCATTTCTGTGTGCTGTGCTGAGCAGTCAGTTTACAGGAAACAGACCTGCAGAGGCGTTCGGTGTCAGGAGAGGTTACTGCAGTAATAGTCAATATGATAATGATTCATCCGCATTGGTTTAATGAGTACTATAACAACCTGGCACATGGATGCATATTTGTGGATTTGCACGTGTATATTTCAGAGGAGATGATAACGATCTGGTGTGCTGCGTTTTCTCTTTCTGCTCTCGTCACTGAAAAGAGTTCTCTTCCTTCCAAGAGCGATAAGATCTGATTGGCTCTCCCACCCAGGTACCGGGAGGAGATATGCTAATGAAGCGCTGACAAAGAGGCTGATGGAGGAGATAAATGAGTGTGTGAGTGCGAGTGTGTTACTGCTCTGCATTTCAATCACAGTGAAGATAGTTGACTGTTTGAATAGAGGCCGAAACCAGTGACGGGTTTCTGGATTTCTTCTTGTAATGATCTCTTCAATGTTTCCCAAAATAGATACGTGGCTCTCTCCTGGGCTTTAGGACCATCACTTTGATTGTTATTAATGTAATGTCTTAAAAGAAATCCAGTTTTATCCTGACATTTTGACAGACGTGTTTTATCGTCCTATGGACTTAAATGGTTACATCGGCCCCCCCCCTATATCAGTGTGTGTGTGTGAGACATCACTGATACACACTATAAACTGGATAAAAGTGTTTGAGATCCTCAGCTTTTATAACATATACGTCTATATTCTGTATCAGCTTAGAGACCAACACAATATTTTTAAATATTGAAAAAGTTGGACTTGTACTGTTTTCATCAAATCACATGTGAATCAGTTCAGTTCTCATCATCGGCAGATCCACTTTGTGTAAACCGACAGCATCCAATCAGGTTCAAGGAGAGAACCAGAAGAAACTAAAGTTATGTTACTGAACGCCGTTTCCTTCATCCTGTTGTTGAAATGGTATTAACTAGCAAAGAGTGCATCGTGACTTGTTTAGGTTTTGAAACTCAATGTTTAGGACATTCAAAACAATGACTTGGTCCCACCCCTGGAACTCAGCCCCCAAAGAATTCTGGGTAAAACGGGAACAACAACAACCTGCAGTTATAACGAGAAAGACACAGAATGTCTCCCGTTAACGAGAGCGAGTCAATTGTCCCGACGGTGAGAGCGGTGATTGTGTTTCTGATGCTTTCTCCTAATGAGTGCTTGTCTTACAGGACGGCGGCCAGAAGTGCGTCCCCTCTGACGAGTTCGAGTGCGAGGAGGTGAGGAGCTTTGATTACACACCTCACTGTGTTTGACGCTTCAGAAACTAATTAATGAAAGTAACAGGTTTTTAAAAAGAAGCATTCATAACACACTCTCTCTCACACACACACACACACACACACACACACACACACACACAGCATCTATTTTATCTACTTTGGTATTCTGGTTTGCTGGACGGTGATAATAGAACATTATTATCAGTGTGACGGTTCTTCTGTAAATAACTCCACTGTCTAATAGACGTTGTAACAGCTTTTCAGTATTCTTTAAAGTTTATTTAGGGGCAACTTTAAACAGTTTACTCCGATTTGAGTAAAAAAAACGGAGAAATTGCCCATTTGCCCATTAGTAGTAAATAAAATGAACAGCTGAGGCTGATGGGAATGTCATTGGTTTTGCAGATATTTGATGATAAAGTATTGAACAAATGTTGACAACATGGATCAACAAATCTCTATCCATAGAGCAGCTAATGTGGCTAAAAATGACAATTATCTCAACTAAATAACGTTGTGATCTCTGTGTCGACTGCATGAAGAATAATAATAATAATAATAATAATTCCTCACTAAACATTCAATCTGTACCTCATTGACTAAAGAATCACAGACAGCTTTTGCACATCCTGACCTCCTGAAGTGTTTTTGTTCCTGTTAACAGGCGTAAAATATGAGAGGAAATCATGTAAATGTATACAGACAGCAACTGAATCCGATTTATCAGCACTGACTGACCACTGCAGCAGAGAATATTGTGTGTTTAATTAGCCACAATCGGAGGGAGTGAGACAGTCAGAAGGTTTTAATAGTTCAGACAAAGTAAAGATCATCACATGAAAATATGCGGCTCTCTTTTATAAAGCCATTATAACATAATTATATATAACATTATATAACCAACAGTTTGACTCATAAAAGTTGTAACTAAAAACATTACTGCTAATGAGCCAGATGAGAACGTCTTTCACCACAGAAGAACTTTCTCTCAGCTGAGCTCCCAGCAGTCACCTCTGCAGGCCGCTGTACGCCAGCACATCGCCGCTGTATGGCCATATGCACTGGGGGTGGATGGGTAAGAGGGCAAACACGTATTTATACTCAAAGGGTCGCCAAAGTCACCAAACAGAAAGGCTTTAAAATAGCTGCAAACTGCTGCAGAAGAAATAATGTGTGCAGGTGGATCTTCTCGGACTGGATCCTCCTCGAGGGTTTGGAGGAAGGAGAAGATAAGTGTAGCAAGTCTCGCTACTAGCGTGGGTTCTCTTTAGGCACACAAACCCACAACCCAGGTTAACAGTCCAGACCATTTTATTTTTTTCTCCTCCGCACACACTATTCACACAACACTCGCTTCAAAAGTCATGAAGGCTTTGCCCCAGGTTGGCTCCAGGTCCAGCTCACTACTGCATTAAGAGAGGAGAGTGTGATTATTCAATGAGTACCAGCTGAAATAATCAACTCACCTGGCACTGCTCTCACAAGCCTTCCCCACACCTCTCTCTCCTGCAGCTGAGTGTAAACCAAACCCACCTCCACAATAAGATAAGAGAGTTTGTACTGATACTGTCATTTTGACTCGTCTGCTAGTCTAAAAGTAACGCTCAGAAAACAGTGAAAATTCCCGGTTATTGGCGGTTGGCCATATAAAGACACAATTAACCCACATTGTACATTAATAATATAATAATTTGCGAGATTAACAAAGTAACGTATCAAAATTATCTGGATCTGTTGAAGTAAAATTGTTCCTCAATGTTATTTATATAGCTCAAAATCACCACTTACAGTTTACAGTTTGGGGGCCTTAGAGTCCTGATCTGGAAGAAAAACTCCCCCCAAACAAACCTTGGGTCAGGAAGAGCCACAGAGGAAGCGCCACAGAGATCCCTCTCCCAGGAGGCACAGACATGCAATAGATATCATGTGTGGAGAACAGATTCACAACAGAAAATCATAGTTTATACGATTACGATGACAGAATATAGATTGTAGAGGATCTGAACCACACAGAGACCTGGAAGGAGGACAGACCAAACCCTGAGGGAGAGAGAGGATCAGACAGTACAGTTAAAGGTTGCAGACAAGCAGAAGATACTAGAGGAGTGAATTTCAGCAGAAACAACGCAAAATACACGTATTGTACCACATAAAAGCTCATTTTCATCTGCAGTCCCTGGGCGGAGGTCACTAGTGTGCAGGTAAAAATAATTAATTTGCGACGTTTCAATACTAGATTTTCATTATTATAATTATTTTATTATTTTATGTTTATTTAGCAGGGACAACGCACAATACATGTATTGTACCAGATAAAGCTAAAAACTATTCATCTTTTTATCTGCAGTTCCTGGGCGGAGGTCACTCCTGCGCAGATTACACAGATAAAAGACCAGTCAGGCTGATGAGAAACCATCTTAAATAGAGACGCTGTAAGGTGATGTTTATCATTAACGCCGTCCTACTGCACGTTGTAGCCACTCCCTCTTTAAGATGGCTTCTCATTGTCATCAACCGTTTGCCGGATGAAGGTCTAAAACTGAAACGTAATTTTAGATTGCAAGTTAAACAGTGTGTGGGAATTTATCTGTGCAACTTTTTGATCTACTCATCCCACTCCTACACACCTGACTCACTTTCGTCTGTTCCAACATGTTATTTTTAAAATTAATCTAAATTAATTTGTCAAATTTGACAGCATATGACACCAAACTGTGGTGGCCACTCATTTTTATGGAGTTCATTTCAGCATCAAACCAGCGTAGAGGCACTTTTCATTAAAAATAATGGCCTTGCTCTCACAATGTGACACTTGATTGGTGTGAGAGCAGCTTACATGTGACTCTCAGTATTTGATTACACCTCTGACGATAGCAGTCGGGTCTCTTTTGGTGCCATTTTCATATTGTGCAATAAATATCAACATAAAATGTTTACTGGGTGAATTTATTCTGTTTCCTGAATCACCTTCAGAACAACCTCAGGAAACATTTTACAGTCCGCTAATTACCTGGTTTACTGGGAAACTAGATGGTAACAAAATATAGTTAAAGTTATTAGGAAAGTACCAAAGAACTGGATAGTTCAAAGTTATTGCTCAGTCAGGAAACTACACTGAAGAAAGTTGAGAAAACTCATGATTTCTGTCTTCACTAATAATAATTAATGATAATTTATTTGTTTTCCTTAGAAAAACTTCAATATTGTAAAAAAAAAGTTCTGAAAAAAATAATAGAATATTTTCAAGCTTCCAAATAATGAAATAATTGTTAACAACTTGCTGTGAACAATGTTTGAAAGACAGAATTTCTTAAATTCAAAGTATTCAGATTTTCTAAAGCAGAAAAATAAATCACCTCAACAAAAGATTATTATTAGTTTGGCAAAACTGCTTTTAGTTTATTCATAAAAATTTGATGAAGTCAGTCGCTTTAAAATTATTTTATTTTAAGTATTCTTTTTTTGGCCTTTTTGCCTTTATTTGATAGAGATAGCTGGGGAGAAGCAGGAAGGGGGGCAGAGAGAAGACGGCGGGGACGACATGCATAGCAAAGGGCACGCGGAGCTCGGATCTCGAAACCCACCGCTGCGTATTTAATGGGGTTGCAGCTCTACCAACTGGAGCCTAAGCTGGCGGGGCCCCTTAATGGCCTTTGTGGACCCAGTTATTTACGCTTTCTATATTTTTATAAGATGTAAGCACTCCTGCTGTGGATTTGTGATGGGGGATGTCTTAGTAGGCTGGTATGCAATATTTTCCAGGAATAGTTTAGATTGGGGATGCTTTTTTGGCTTTCATCTACACTTTGCGCGTACCGTTGATCTTTGCCCATAATAATTTTTTATTATTAATAATCTCAATATAACCATATCATAACATCTATAATTACAGAAGGCAAGGCAGGTATAAGATATATAACAGGCTAAATGACTGTAAATAAGTTAGTTACTGGAAAGACGCAAATGAAAACAATATTAAAATTGTATTTCTTTACAGGATTTCTGGTACGTTTTTAGTACGTTACTATTCTTTTTCCTGATGTTACAACTCCTTAGATCGCTGTTACCATCCACATTCTTAGGGTATGTTTTGATTGTTCTTACCAGCGTAATACTTCATATTTACTGACAGTCTTTTTGCCTACTTTTCTAATGGACTATGGTTTGGTTTCCAGTAAATACGAGATATATTCAGACTGAAAATTAAACCATTGGATATAAAATTAAATTCTCCCCCTCCCCTCCCTCCCTCCGCCTCCTCATGCGCTCTTTGCTGGCCCAGTTTGGGTCAATTAGACTCTCCAGGACTCTGCAGGGACACCGAAGAGCCAACAGCCGGGCAATCAGCTCTCTCTCCTCCGCCACCAACCTCTCTGTTTTGACTCGGGTGCGGCTTCTCCGTCCTGGCCGACGTTCTTACTCCTCGTCGCCATAAATATAACACACCACACACACGCTGCCACAAACAACCACCCACCACACGTTCACACACATCTCACACACATTCACACACTACATCATTAAGATGGAAGACCTCGAGAGGTCACGTGACCCGGCGCCCTCGCGGGCTGGCAGGAAAATGCTCAACCGGACCAGACGGGACCAACATCCACCAACGGACCGGACTTTGAGAAAGTTGTTCTGCGAGGACGTTTTCAGACTTCAGCCGTCTTCTCTCCACCAGCACACACAAAACACACACAACACGACACACACTGCAGCAGAATAATCGAAAGAACAAGAAGAAGCCCGGGGACTGTGTGTTTTTGTGATGGGACTACAAAGGAAAAGCGGACCAGGGAAGAGGGCTCTTGCGGATTTTTGGATCACAGCGATTCCAGCGTCTGGGAGGGGTTTGCCCTCTGCAGCCCCGGCTTCTGACTCGCTTTCCGTTTCGCGCGTTTCTGGGATCCGAGGGACAGCCGCGGGGGCTTGAAACCGCCTCCAAGCCACAAAACCACACACAAACACACACAAAACAACACCACACAGGGGTC